GTGTGTGTGTGTGTGTGTGTGTGTGTGTGTGTGTGTGTGTGTGTGTATAGATGAGCAGTTTATGTTCAGCAGACATTGCTCTTTGTTAGGGTCCATGTGTTTGTTCAGTTTTGACATTGTTTGTGTTGGGGGCACTGCTGCTGTGTGTTTTCCTGCACAACCAGCTGTTTTTACTGCAGCATTGGTGTGTGTGTGTGTGTGTGTGTGTCTTTGTGTAGTGCTGCAAAGAGGAGAAATTGATCAGTACAGGGAGGGATGTGTTCACCAGTAAAGTCTGGATGGAGGGGGTGTGTGTTAAAGAGGAAGGGAGAAATGGAGCAGGGGCTGTCGCTGCAGACTCCTGCTGCAGTATCTCACTTTGGCCAAGCAGCTGCCGACAAGCGAGACAAGCAGACAGGTACAGAGCCGGTGTGATGGGAGGAGACGGGTGGTGGCTGTGGGAATGGAGGGAGACTGGGGGCGGCAGAGATGGGGTTTAGGATGCAGAGTCGGGTGGGAYGGGTTCTGAATTAGTTTGGACAAAGTAGAGATTTTTGTATCTTTGTTGACTTATGGCAGTGTGTCATGTTGGACTCGCCATGATGAAGGAAAGAAAAAAGGTGTAGATCACGTCACAAGGCTGATGTCCTGGTGTCTGGCTCACGGTAAAGAAGGAGGAGAAGTGGGAAGTGAGGGGATGCACCTCTGACCTGTGTCTGGCTGCAGCTTCCCACACAGCCCACCCCTGCTCCCTGCATTGTTTTACACCTTTTTTTTCCTTTTTCTCCCCCTGGCTGTGCATTCTTCTCTGTTCCTCCTCATCCTTGGCTCAGAGGAGATAACAAAAGGTGCAGTCGGTGGCAGACGGACCAACGAACTCACAGTTGTACATCAGGTGGYGCGGCAGCCTTCATTTTGCCTGGCATTTCCTGCAGAGAAAAAGACAGTCGGAGACATCATCTCACTGCTTTTGTGCTTTGTATAGTTGTTTTTATCTAAAGKGGAGGAGTTGTGTTGTGAGTCAGCGGTTTGGCTGCTTAGTACTTAGTTAAAAAGCGACTTRGGAATGTTTTTAATTTGAATCTCTTATTATTCATTAAGCTTTTTTACATCAGTTAATGTTCAGTTTCGTAGCTTGGAGCTGCTCGGCATTATTTTTAACTAGAAAGTGTTTTATGTCCGAACAAAGCTCGTCACCTTTGACTGGTAACTTGCTACAGTTCGGCTGGTTGAAGTAATAGAAAGTGAAATGGGGGACTTAGTTTTGTAGGCAGATTGCAAAATAAACTTGCTCATTTCTGATGATGATTTATTGAAAAGCCTTTTTAGGTGGAATTTTACTTGTTTGTTTATTGTTGTTTTTTTTTTTAGCTGAGCTGCCCACAGAGCATAGATAGATTTCTCTTTTTTTTTGGTGGACGGTACTGTGAATAAAAACTGAACCTGTTCGGGCTTTTGCCACTCTCTGAGGCAGCTCTCAGGAAGACTCGGTCCAGCAGACGGATCCCGGTCCAGCTGTTTTAGCAGGGAGAAGTGTCGACTGATGTTCAGCTGAAGCTCTTTAGGACAAAGAAGCTGGCCTGGCTGCCTGACTGAAGGAGGGCTTTCCCTTCTCCAGCACAAAGTTAGTACAGTTTAAGCTTGTGTCTGCATTTGTTTGTGCAGAATGATGAAGATCATCTGTCGTTTATCTCCAAAAACTATACCGCTTTGTTTGAAAAAATAGGCTTTTATTCTCGTCACGTCTTTGCTGAAGGTCTGGTTTTTGTGGTACTGGCCACACATCAACTCGGGTCCTAAAATAGTTCAATCTCCAGTTGTCTTTCTGTGCTCCGGTATTGAGCTCAGCGTTTTACAGTAAAAGGTTTTCTGCTGTGGAGAGGAGAAACATGACACCATTTAGTTTTCTGACATAACATTTRGCTGTAGCTGCCTCTGGGCTAAAATGTGACACTTTTAAGTTGCAGTTCATTTGGAGACGGAGTGCATTTGTCTCTCACTACCCTGTGTCTGACTGCAGCTCCTCAGTCGTCTCTGTCGTACTTCACCTGCTCCCTGAGACCCTAACTTGTGAGCTCTTTTCATAAAAAAATCACGGGTTAGGCTCTTGGGACACAGGTGGAGAGCACAATCGACTTTGTACCACATGATCCAGTAAAAGAAAATACGCACCTAGTGCAGAGGATGATGAGAAAAGAAAATGAGCTAGCACATTAAAAACATACAGCTGGGCACAACAGTGATCTTCAGTGGAATCAGTCAAGTGTTAAGTACACTGCAGAGTTTGTGAAAATGCATGTGCASGAGTGTACTTGCTTTATGTTACACAAAACACATTTTAAATGTGATTGAAACAGCATAGTTTAAAGCTGACAGATGCTTTACTGCAGGGGTGTCAAACTCATTTTCACCGAGGGCCACATGAGCGTTATGGTGGCCCTCGAAGGGCCAGTTGTAATGAACTTTGACATTTAATGTTTAACTTTGACTAAACAGAGTTTTAACACAAACTCTTTTAAACACTGATAAGAACTAAGTGTACGACTGACTAAATCTGAAATAAATACAGAAATATTATTAAAAGTAAAACTAATAAAGTTTTACTCACTGAGTTTCTAGTGAGTAGCTGCATTTAKTTTATAGYTGATGCTGAYTTTAAAGCAGCTTATTTTCAGACATTAATACTGTGCTATCCAACTAAATTGCTGTCACTTAAAGCCAACAGCTCAGGGGCAGGAATATTGTTATTATCTTATTTTGTTGCATTTAATCATAAATTTAAAGTTTACCATTCATATAAGAAACAATTTTCATGTTAAGTAAAAAAAATATATAGTTTTTTTTTTTTGATTCCCCCCCCCCGGCGGGCCACACAGAAGACACTGAGTTTGACACATGTGTTTTACTGTATTGTTAACACCATCATCGATTGGTGTTTAAACCCCCCTCTTATGACACAGACGAGGCTTAAGGCTGGTTCCAGACAAAAATACTGTTTGAGCTGGTTTAACTCTACGTCCCTTGTGTTAGAGTTCAACCTCACACTCGTATAACAAGGTTATAAGGAACTTATTTTAGCAAGGATCACTTTATTTTYGGTAAAATATTCTCCCAGTGCAAAGTGAATGGACACACAAYAAGTTACATGAGTCAGTGAATTTTGATTTGATCCATATGCAAATGTGATCGTTTATTTTAACAATCAGACAAAATCACTAAWGTGCACTTAATTGTGAGCAATCAGTTTCCTATAAAAGCTTTAGGACCAACAATAACAAACGCTTAGAGTTTCTTAATTGTTAACCACAGGCATTAGAACACAAACGTCAAGCTTTAGATGTTCAATACCAGACATTTGAGGCAAATAGCTTAAGGTTGGTAAGACAGGTTTAAGAAAAGGAAGTAAGATGTTAGCTTTCCTACTTTAACTTAAATAATGGGGGTTAACCAGAGAGGCAAGGTGTTCTACTCGGTGTCGGCCAGACAGCGAAGTTCACAACACAGCCACCTTTTACCTTTAGATGAGGTCAGTCACCTGTCCAGGTATTTGGGTTCTGCTTAGAAAATACGTTTTAAGACCGTCGACACAGAGGGACCCTCAGGGCGTGTAGATCAGACCTGCGTGCATCCGCGTCAAGCCGTAGAAAGAGGGCGAAGCCAAACCTGGACACAGACTTCAAAATAAAACATCCGACAGGAAGGTTTTAATAAGATGTATAGACCAGATGTGGGTCGTATCCGGTTGTGTGGTTTCCCCGTTGGTGTGAAGGGGTTTTAAACCGACAACTTCAGCTCCTGATTCCCGGAGAGAATTCAGCTGCCAGTGTGACTGATGGGCGGTCCGTTACTTTCTGCCGTCCGGGCGAAAACTGTTAGTTACTAAAAAGCTTAGTTGTCCTAAGTTCCACCCCGGAAGTTAGATTAGAAAAGAAATGACATCAAGGAAAAATGTTAGTTCAGAGACTTGCCGTCGCCGCTAAACAAAGATGACTACTTCTGTGTAGTTCAGAAACAAAACATTTCATGACCCATTTAATTATTATCYGATGAGAACTTCTTTAACACATAACTGAAAGGATGAATTGCTTCAAATTCAAAACATTTGCAAACATGATTCAGATAAGTAAAACATTGGTGTTTCATCAAATTTAAACTATAAAGATTATTTTAGTTAAAAGAGATTTTTGCACAGAAAATCCAGCTGAAATCATACTGAGGGAGAAAAGAGATCTGTCCTCTTTTCTCCTGTAACTTTGATAAACATTCTCTGATTATCAAAATGCGTAATAACTTTCAGTTAAGAGAACAATAAATGAAATAATAAGAAGATTCTTCTGTTTATTATCTGATTAAGAAGGAAGAGAATGTCTCTTTGAAATGTTAAGACGACCTGAGGTGGCCTAAATTCAGTTCTAAGTGGAACAGAGTTTTTGTCCCTTTAAAGGCCCATCAGAGGACTGAGGTCCAAGACAGTTTCTTGATTATTTCACTCGAGGTGACCCCTACATGTCCCCCCTTTAGCGAGTCAGCACCCCTCGAAGGTGATGAGTTGCAACACAAAACGGGAACACCTCAAAAGTCTTTGATCTTGAATTAATCCGATTGGTGAAACGGTATAATCCAAAGGTAATCCAAACTGAAAACTTTGCATAGGAAGAGTTTTTCTTCAATGCTTGTTAAAATAATTTAAAAAAGTTCTTTCTCTTTTTTTGCAAGATTGATTATTTCACTCGTGGTGACCCCTACACTTGCACAATCTTGTCTTAAAATACTCACAGATTTAGTCCATTCTGTATTAAACAAATCCAGTTGCATGAAGGTGGATCAGAACTACTCTGTGGCTAAATTAAAGCTTAAATTAATCCTTCAAAGGGGCAGGTTTAACTTCTGTTTAATATTCTGAAAAAGGGAGTTTTGAACTCAGACTCAAATCCTGTCCTCCTGATTTGACTTTTTCTGGTTCCTTCTGTCCATGCAAACAGCTGATATAGCTTATCAAATGATCTGTTGCTGACAGGTGAATATAAGTTCATGCAAACAAAACCACTGATGCTAATACTTTGATATTTAGTTAAAATATTAAGTTTTGTTATCATACGTGAACAGGTGGTGACAGCCCTCTGACTGGGACCTCCATCTTTTCACACACCAACCTAAGAAGGAGGGAGGTGCAGAGGAATGAGCAGCACTGCAGGAGAGGATGGAAGAAAAGATGAAGCAGGATGGAGTGGACATCAACAGTGACCCAGCTGTGGCAAAACGTCCATCTGCTGAGAATGAGCAGGAGAGCAACAACCACAGATGCAAGGACACAACTGAAGGTTTACAAAAGGAATGGATTAAACGGAAGGAGAAAAACTGTAAGTTTAGAGAACTGTTTAGATCTAAAAGAATATCTAATAAATCTGCATTTGAACGCATGATGACAAATTAAAGGCAATGACAGGTGTGCCCTCGCATTTTTATTTATGGATTAAATCCCTGCATTTACCTGCCTATATGTGTGTTTTTATTTTATCTGACAAATGTGGCTCCAAGTGTTGTTTCATCAGGTTAAACAGAAGACAGAAACAGTGTCACATTGCACAGTGAATAAATAAATGGATGACACCAATGATGCATTATTTAAAATGTTTTATTCAGCATTAATTTTAGTATTTTTGTGAATAAAATAATCAACTAATATATTGTGGGTTCTTGTCCGGTTCTCCGGGGCCCTCCAGCGATGTGGACCTTCCGTCTCGTCTCCGTCAGATGGTGGCCGAATCCGGCTGATTCGATGGACAAACAGCGATCGTCCTCCTGTAGACTTGTTGACGGTTAAAAAACTCTTAGGCTGATATATGTAGCAGTAACTTGGATTGGAATGTCAAATCCAAACTTTGTTTACCTCAAGACTTTGGCCTCTAAGCATTATTCTGTCTCATGCCTACAAGAGAACAATGACTTATTCATTTACCTCCAAAACCTTTGTTTATTATCTACGAGTGGTAAGATAACAACAG